GGGACGGCCTAATCCTGAGTCCGATTTGAATTAGCAGCCTCCTCTTACTGTCAGTTTCAAACTTATTGGTCGCTTTCGGGATCTGCTTTTCCTTCTCTATTTGAAAGCCGCCCGATATCAGCATTTATTCTTAAGTCCATTATATATCGACATTGTTTATTTAATTTTCATCATAGATGATGGAGAAATTCGTTGACATTTTTTATTTATTTTATAACGTTTGCAACATATGTCGTCTCCAAAAATAAATCTTTATCATATTCTTCTATTTTTCCAATCTTCTTCACGCATACCCTTGTTCATCATTCCTTTCTTAACTCCTTCATACCAGATCATCCTTGGGCGACATTTCTTCCGTCTTCTTTCCGGTTTCCAATCCCAAATTCCCTTAGGCCATGGTCCCTTTTTCATCCTCATCCCATTCTCATACCACTTCAGTCTCATAGTTTCAAAGTTATGGAGGATATTCTCCGATTCTTCCACTCGTTTCTTCATTTCACTGAACAGAACTTTTTGAAGGCGAGTGACACCAAATGGTCGCCTTCAATTGTCAATATCTAGGTTTAGCAAATTTTTTTTAATATATATCTATTTAAATGTCTCTTATTTTATTCTATCTTTACTTATACTTTCTTGCAGACGATTTCTCTTATAGTTTCTTCTAAATGGTACGGAATATCATTATTCAATGGATACCCTGTCATTGTCGTATTTCTGGTATAGCAAAGGAAGGTTCTCTACTGCCCTAGCTCGACCAACCTGTACCTTAAATATCTGTGAAACTTACGATAAAAAAAACGTCAAATAAATAAGTAGCATGGATTCTGAAAAAAAAAAAAAAAACACTGAAGCCTAATTAAATATTACACCAGACGACAAATTAAATATTATTTGTAAATAAATAATATGTTTTAGCCCACAATTTTTTTATTTTTTTGTTTGTATTCGCCTCTACCCTAGAGGGTCATTGGCGGTTTTTCTTAATTTTTATATTTTACTATAGTGATTTGTTTCCAATAAATATTGAAAGAGAATGACGACATTTGCCTCCTTGTCTCCCAAAATATCTTTCAATGTTGTCGAAAGCTTTAGTTTTTGTCTCTTCCTTTTATATTAGGCCACAATTAAACTATAACTTAAATCAGTTTAATTATTAATTAATTATTAATGTCCAAAAAAATTTTTTTTTCTTGTTAATGCTACTTTTTTTGTATTTTGTCTGAATCGTTATTGTATTAATGATGTTTATTTTATTTTGCAGGTATGTACCATTAGTAGACCATGGGTTGTACCAGTCCCAATTTCATGTGAGTGAATATTAAAAATATCTAAAAAGAACCGATATTAAAATAAAAGATTTAATCAGTTGTAAATAAAAATATCTATGCTTAAAGACAACAAGAGGTCATATTGCATAATAATTGTAAGTTTATTACTTATAGCTGTTGTATCATTCGCCATAGATTGTTTTTTTATCGGTTGTAGGCTACAGTCTCTTGATATATATTTGTTATGACATATACTTGGTATAATTTTTTTTCATAACCCTTGTTACTTATTTATATCAAGAAAGTACACCACCAACATGTCGCAGCTACAATACAGCTTTCAAAACGGTACACATTTTAGAAAATTGTCCGAACTTGGATCCATCAAGGATTTCATAGCTGCTATCGACAAGCCCTACAACCTGAAAATCAGAAGCACTTACTTCAATTTCTGAAAGAAACGCAATTACTACAAATATATTTAAACAATACAATCTTTATATATGTACTTACAACGTAATCAGAAATAACCTTTGGAGCTGTAACAACACGTTCTTTAATCAAAAATCCTAACAACATACACGTATAGAAAAAAATAAAAATAAAAATAAGTACAACACGATCCCTACAGACATATTGAAATGTAATTCAATAACCAATAAGGTGCCTCTAACCTATATAGTTCCACACGGTAACTAAAATATAATCAAATAAATAAATATATCAAGAGAGTAGTATTAGAAATTAAATAAGATGTCTCAAACCTGCGTAATTTAGTTGTACAGGCCATCCACATAAAACTTATTAAATAAATTGATACATCGTTTTTCTTTTTAATAATTATTGTGAAGGATTCAAACTGATGTTGACTGCATGATATGTTATGTCTTGATTTCATTAGTAAACGATTTGTGTCTTAACTTTTTCAATAGTGTGTTTTAGGTTTATACAGACCTAAAACACACCTATTGAAAAAGTTATTTAAGATATTTTTTACTTCACATATTAATCTGCATCTTTCACATATTAATCAACAGTTGGCTAAAAATCAGCAAATAGTTTTTGAATAAGAGACCAATATAAACTGTTCAAATCATAAAATAGACAATGACTAATCTCTTCTTCCAACAAAACATTGTGAAGTGAGGTGTTCTTAGTAAGAAATAGAATCACAATTACGTGGTGTCCATTTATATTGACTGCCTTTACGTTATGAAAAAATATATCATTTACCGTGATAATAAATAATAAAGCTCACGCAGTGCTCCATAAACATCCATAATAGCTAATTTAATCTTAATCGTAGTTGTCCTCTTGTAGTTTGTCAAGCAAGAGCTTCAGTGTCAGTATATTTTCGCACCTATCATCGCTTTTTAAATCGCATTATCACGTCTAATCCACCATGTTTTTAGCGCTATGAATCGAATTAGATTCCCTTGGTTTGAATGTTTGTCTAACCTTTCATCATGAGTTTTCTAACATATTTGTATTAGTCCAAAACGTAATTTTAAATATTTAATTAAAACCCATACCTCTGACTTTTTTTAATTATCATAATATTCACACTTTAGGCCACAATAGTTTCAGGGTTTTTTTAAATACATTTTTCTCTCTACGTGACTATAATGACTTAGGTTTCTTATCTACATTTGATCATGTTTTGAACCAAGGTTCGGCAATTAAGAAAATCATTTTTATTTTAAAGAATTTTTTCTGTGAATTAAATCAGGGATTGTTCTCATAAATAAATAGAACCTGTACCAGCCAGACAAAATGATTGTCTTCAACACCAAATTAAAACAAAAATATTTTTTCTGTCAGTTTTATGCGTGAAGAAGAAAGAATTGTGAGGCTTGTAACTTTTGTAAGAAGTTATTCTACATAATAAACATTATTTTACTTGTTTGTTTTCTCATAAATTCAAATTCAATTTACAATAAAATGAGTTGAGTCAGATTGGAGCCATCTTGTAACTGTATCTTAGATTTTAGCTTGTTGATTGATGTTGAAAACTACCAGAAACACTTTTCATCACCATTATCGATATATACATTACCTCTATTCAATCCAAGCAAGCAAAGTTTACTTTCATTTTTAGTAGAAAATTAATTAATCTTTTAATTTACCTTCTGGCCATGTAGGTTTGTAATATAGAGGATAACATGTCCTTTCTTTTAATGTTGGATTAAATAACTGCACTGATAACAATAAGCAAACAGCCATTCAGTAAACCTACATATTATGTATAAAAAACAAACACATATTTATAAGGTTTAAAAATCACGATTTCCGACACGTAGAGAAGAGGGGTTTCATTCAAATGAAGCAGAGACCCTCGAAGAAGGACTAACCCTCGACTGCGCAAGAAGTCGCTGTTTAACGAAATGGACCTGGAGGAGGCTCTTGAATAATTCCTGGACCAGTCGCCATCTGAATGGGAAATTCGGGGATTGTCCCTGAGCCGTCTTAAGAGGGGTCGAGGACTCTTCTCGACTCCGTGCAAATAATCGCGGATCGATACATATTTTAGTGTTGCCACTTCAGCTATCGGAAACCAACAGTACTTCTGGATCGGATTTCGTCTTGGTGATTTCTAAAGGTTTTTTTTTTTTTTTTTTTTTGTAATTCTTATTTTTATAAAAGTTTGAGAAGTCTAGGATTAGAAAAAGAAGAATGTTTAAGAACAACCGTCTTGTTATATCAGGATTTCTCTCATTATTGAAAAAATAAGTCCACTCATTATTGTAAAAAGCATCCACTACTATAACCTTTTTTAGTGCAAGGGATATGAAATCGCCAAGTTGTGTTGAGGTTTATTATTTACTGAACGATCATTTTTTTTTATTATTTATTTATTGAAATTTACAACTGTACTAAATAAATACAACTAGTAAATATGAGAAATCAAGACTAATAATGACATGTACAGACTTGAGGAGACACTGCCCAATGATAGCACTCCCTAAATAGTTAATAAAATGTAAGAAGACCACTAGGTCATCTTCTTTTCAGACGGCTGGGAGGATTTTCGGGAATTGAGGAAGAAGCAAGGCTGGAAACAAGTGGATACGGATGGGACTCTAGTTTTTTCATATATATCTTACTTGGGCTAAATCAGCGACATATGAAACATTAAGCTCTTTATGAATGCTTGTATTTGAGACAAAATATGGAGCATTAAGGATTTTGGATTATAAGAATTGGATATGAAAGGAATTCAATGGTTTAGATTGAAAGTTTAGAGCGTTTTTCTATTAAGTGTTGGAGCAGTCGAGCAGTTTCTTGTCGTTTCAGTCTTGTATGCGGATTCCAAGTAAGACGTTTGTCTAATTGGAATCCTTGGTATAAAAATTTTAATTCTAATGTTTATTGAATGTTTATGATCGGTAACGTTATTTATAATACCTATAAATCGTCTCAAATTTACCAATTTATATATTGTAAAGATATATTTCGTACATACCATTCAAGTCAGTCATTAATCCAAAAGTTACTGTAACAATCCTGTCATATAAATTGATGTAGCCATAGATTTCGATTTTAGATGGTCAATAAAGGTTTTGTACTTTGAATAATAAATTTGGTGCATTAAATTTTAGCAATATTTTTTTTTTCCTTTATTTATATACTTGAAATGATAAGTAAATATAACATAATGAGAAGATATAACATTCTAGCAAACATTGTTTCTATTACAAGGCTAAATTGTAATGACTATTATGAAAATACAAATCAGTGTAAATACCTTGGTAAATAATAGTTTATTAACTCTCCTAAAAAAACCAACACGGCCAAGGCTTGCCCGAGAAATAACGCAAAAAACGGCCCTGCTAAATCCTTCAATGTATATGCATTCAAATTCATCATTTTCTGAGATGTCTTCAAGATGGTGGTAAAGTTGTCGACGATTTGGTCTGATATTCCACTCTCAAATATTTTGCTTGACAAACTAGCTATTCTCTCCTCTAAGAAATGATTTCTTCTCATCTCGATTCCGAAATAGAACGTGCCAATATTAAGTTCGGATTGATAAACTTTGTACCTCTTAGTCTTGATCTTGTTTAACATGTAAATACTGTTGTCTAAGATAGATATGTTCCTGTATTTTTCCATGGTTTCAAATGCCTCTTCCATATCCTCTATCTGAAAGTTGTCATGCACTACTTTCATAACCAAGGGATCGTCTATGTACATTAACAGATACCTAAGGTAGCTCATCGCTCCAGTTCGAATCTTCTTCTCCAGTATCTGGTGGTAGTTAGTGATCTCGGACTCTTGCCTTCCTGTTGTGATGAGTCCTGTCAAAGCCCCGGTGTAGGCTAGGTCTATATGCATGGTGTACAGGAGATAGGCAGCAATTACCAGGCGAATGACGTCGCTGCTTGGGAAAGATATTGACGAAGTTCCTAAATTGAAACTCCAGGAAGCCAATATACATGATGAAATGCTATCTAAAGATATAGTATTTTTGTCAAATTTAGCGATAAAGTAAATAACTAACGCAAATATTATTATAGTGAGGATGACTAACGTCCATAGAAGTCCATCAAATCCCATGTATATAAGTTTCCATGTCGGCACAGCCTCTGGATCCTGGAAAAACCAAGCGATATCCCCGGTCATGTATGGAGAGGAGACAATAGTACAGTGGTAGCTGTGCTCTGTGTTGGTCCCAGCACTGGCCATCATCCATACCGTACCTCGCAGCACATCCACAGCGGCACCGTGAACTGTTTTCCCGTCGCTCCATACCCACCCATCAGCTCTGTTGTGGGAAACGAATTCAATTTCGAGTCCCAGCCGTTCGGCGATGATTTTGATAATACGATACTCCACGCCGTCGTAAGGTCGGCCCTCCTTGTCAAGCACCATTAAAGGATCGTATAAAGCCACTGATACCTTCATCTTGCATCCTTTAAAGAGTTTTGGCACCTTTTTAGGAAACAAAGCTCGGCCATTTGAAAACCTTCCATTTTCCCACTTATCAAGTACTTCTACTTCATTATTGCTCTCAGGGCAATCGAACCCGTCTCTTCCAAACGGAAACCAATTGTATACTGTCAAAACATTGTTCTTTGGAGCTACAAAAATTGCATCTATGTCGCCCATTGAAAACATGTCGAAATAAATGTCATGTATATCTGACTCGTTCACTTCCTTTGTAGATAAAATAACCATTCTGGTTTCTTCTCCTCCTCCATCAATGTAAAGATTATTGTAGAAAGTGTATAGGGTATCATTGATTTGTGTTCTGTACGAATAGCGTTGATCCAGGACGACGATGTGCGCACAGCGAAGGTAGTTGATAGCTCCGAGGGGCGGGTTGTAGAGGAGGTTGATGATGCGGTTGTAATTTGTGGCAGGGAGGTAGATTGCCGACAGCCCGTGCATGTTCTTGAGCAGCTGAGACCGGACCAGCGGAGGGACATCGGTCACGCTCGGTCTGCTGTAGTTCATCGGGAATAAGAAAGCGAGGCAACGGTTGCTGAGAAATTTTTCAGCAATGGCGGTCACACAATCTACAATATCAGGCGAGTACTGAAGATCGTGTATTATTGCTTCGCTACCGACTATGCATACGAGAAGCCAAATCATTTCACTTAATTTAATTTACTGTGCTTGATAACGGCTCAACTCGTTCCTTTGCGATGAACGCATGCTGTCCGACTTACCCTCATTCAAGCTACTATCTTTGTCTTATAAACCCTCATTTGCTAACGCAATCATGATGAGATAGCATCGTATCGGCAGTGTTAATATTTATAAATCATTGCTTGCTAATGGAAAAACTATTGATTTTTCAATGGAAACAATGTTCATCAGGCTAAAGGTAATACATATTTTAATAACCTCTCAGACGATTTTGATCTATTATTTTCTTGGACCTGATGCATGTATGGATAATGTCCTCATTACATTTTTTTTTAATTTAACAGTCCTCTCACGTATTTTAAAAGGTTAATTGGTCTAACATAAGTTATAGGTATAGTTTACATTAATATCTTCCCCAATTGTTGTTTTTTAGGTTTTAATTTTTTTTAGTATAAAATCCTTTAAACGATTAACATTTTGTTTATATAACTCGTTTGTTTCCCTTTTTTTTTTAATTATAAATATTCTTTTTATGTGCACATGAATGCATAATATCATAATAACATCAATTTACGTTACAGTCAGCACTTTTCTCATTTCATTCTCATTCTAAATGTAAATAGTGGAATTCTATATCTTCTTGATGCACACCCTTACTTCCGCTTGATGTCTCTGGACTAGAGCAAACTGTGATCTTGTGGCCAAGGGATATTAAACGTTATATTAGATCTGGCCGCAGTGCAGGTTCTCTTCATATTTCAGTGTTGATACTGAGTCTGTCCGATTTAAAAATATTTTTATTATTATAGCTTTATATATAATCTATTTTTATATGTTAAATAATTCTTCCTCCCTCTTCCCCTTCTCCCCTCCCCCAACAAAAAAAAAATAGTAATAAAATAAATGACCGAGGAGGACCCATGCGTTGTTCAACTGTCCGTTCATTTATTATTCATCGTACAATTTGTTGAAGTTCAGTTAAAGTTCAATTTAACTTTAACAAATTTTGGCCATCCGATTTTTTTTGGGCTGAACTTCGGGACGTTTGTTCTGACTGATATTCTATCCTGTCTCTATTTAGTTTTTTAAATGTCGTTAATTATGGCTTCAAATTAGTTGAGATCCATTACTAGTTATTTTTTTTTAAATGTGTGAAATAATATGTGATTTAAAACGGGACTTAAGAAAATACAATACATTAATTTCCTACTTTTTCAAGGAAAATTGGACTATCATTTTCATAAACTTTTTGTAGCTTTGGAGATCTGCATTCGGCCCTTTAAATATTTACTATTACTTACAGAACACTCAGTATGTAGTAGATATTTCACATACATTCCATATCTCTTTTACAAATGAAAAAAAATGTTTAAGTTAATCTGTAAAAACCTAAAGAAAATTTATTAAATTACTAAAAAAAATATAGCATTTTATAATATTCAGTTGTAACGAAATGATTGAATTTAGGTAATATGCTTGGAAAATTATTTTAGGGTGGCACTCATTGAAAACACATAAAATAAAAACAATTTATTTATTTATGTTTCGTCAACGTTTTGGATTAAGTTTTAGAGCTTCCATGCCTCTGGTAGGAACCTTGATTAATAAATTATGATGTTAATCGTTTTACTAAAAATCTGCAAATAGATTTAATTTTATTACAATAGAATGAGAAAAAAAAAATTAATTTATTATTGTTAAAATTTTGTTTGTTATCAATCGTTCAATATCATGACAGGTTTTAGAAAATAAATTAATAGTGCCTGTAATTATCAATATTCAGTAGAGTGAAGGCACCAGTTATGGACAGGTTGGACTTTGAATGTAAATAATAAGCTTCCATATTGATTGACAGGTTCCAATTGTTTCTAGATTTAAGAACAATACCCTCTATTTACAACTGTATGAACAAAGTTCCCAACAGAAAATTTGAAAATGCCTATAGTTGTTGTTTCTGTAGTGCTCTTGAGATCTTTATCTTTATTGTTATATAATGGTTTTCAACATTTTTATGAGGTGTCTATTACTGGTACCAACCTCCTGTCCATTACTAGAACAATTGAATATCGTGGTGTCCACCACTAGTGCAAAAAGGTGTTGTTTTTAATAATGATGATTATACCTGCATAATTGAATATATTTTTTTCAATTTTAAAGGGTTAAATAGAAAAAGGAGAACCTGGAGATTCCAAAATGTCCAACAGAGAAGTTTATAACTATAATAATTACGGCGGCAATAATAATAGTTACAATGCTCCCGACCTTACATTCCAAGTCCATATAAAGAAATTGAGATGTGTTAGTCAATTAAGAGTTGGAAACCCAGAACATATCAGAATCTATGTAAAAAACAAAAAATTTTCGATCGAGTCTCAAGAAACTTGAATACCATGCAGTCAATTTATCTTCAATAGTCTACATCACATACTCTTTCACTGCCCAGCATGCAATGACTCTAGACAAAAATTCCTCCATAACTTCATCTCAGAATCTTCTGACAACCACAACATCGAAACCATATTGAATATCGATTGTATAGATAAGTTAAATAAAGTTTACTATTATATGATGGGAGTACACAAAGCGCATATACAAAATTGTTGATCATAGCCCATGTATTATTAAGTGTTTGTTTTTATGTATATACATATTATATATTATATATATTTATATATATATATTATATATATATATATATATATATATATATATATATATATATTTATGGTTTCTACTTTAGTAACGAGTTCATATAACTATTATTATATAACTATTATTAATTATTAGTTTTTTGTTTTAATTTTTATTGTTATTCATGTTTTGTAAAAAACATTCTATACGTAAAAGATTGTAAATTTTATTTATATTTAAATGATATGCATGTAACATGTAAAACCATATTATTCTACATAGCCAACCTAGGCTCTATTTGTATGGGGGACCCACCAAAAACATATAAAATTTCTATCTATCTATCTAATTACGGCGGCAGAAGTCAAAAAAGACAAACATTTCCTGTCCATCACTAGTGCGTTTACCTTAACTTTATTCTGCCTTCAGTAAAAGTATTTCAACATGTTTTATTCTGATGAAGAGTATAAAAGGGAGATATATTCGTCATATGTCTACAATTTATTGTAATTCTATACCCACCTTAAAAATCTCTTTTTTTCTTCTTTTTTTTTGTCAAAAAGAGAGAATTCTGAAAGTAATAAAAGTATAAAAGAGAGTATGAAGAGGACGGTGGCTGGTAGGAATCCAGGGGTGGATTCCGAGAAGGTCCTTCCCATGGGAGGGGTTTTTCAATGCCGATGGTGGCCGCTGGGGTGAGCTAGGTTCGGGGTGCTATTTCAGGTATTTAATTTAACCCGTCCCCTATAACATGTCCTCTCTTCACTGTTATTTACTCTTATTTACCAAAAGTAGAAAATAATGTATGTTGTTAGTTCATTTAGTTGCTTATCATTCAATCGTTTCAATAATCTCTGAACTACCATTATGTAAGTCACCTATGTTTCTAGCAGTGTAAGGAGAATATTGGTTGGAGAATATGCTTTACTTACTTTTTTTTCCTAATCTTCAAAAATTAAAATTAAAAAGTTAAACTTCTATGGACATACTTTTAAAGGTCTAGCTAAAAATACCATCTCACAGAAGGTCCTGTATCTCCAAAAATCATATTACGAGTTATAAATTAATCACCTTGGTGCTAACAAAATCCTGCGTATTGTCCTCCACCCTTTATCAGTTGAAGAGCACATAAAAGATACTTTGTTAACGTTTTGTAATAATTTTCACGGACATACTATCATCAAATATATTGCTTTGAAAGACATTCCCATGAATACTAGGAGAAGATTTAAAAGTTGCTGGATAAAAGATCGCTCTCTCTCCTTAACACACTATTGAATCAAGAAGCAGAGCTGCTGATTATTATGCCTCATGTCTGTCATATCCATGTCATGTTTCCAAAACTAGTAAATAATATAAGTCTAAGATTGTGATTTTAATTACTCATCAAACAACCTTTATGTGAGTGACCCATGTTTCTAGCAATGAAAAAAAAATAGTGGTGGGACAAATGTTGTTGACCAACCCTCCATAAAACAATTTTCGAAACACAAATAAATACCTGGTTAACAACCTCGAATATGAGATGGATTCAATTAAATAATATACAGTTTTATGTTACTATTTTGATGCTTGTATATTTAACATTATAATTTGATAGGTAAAGTATTTTATTTTATAGAAAGAAAGCTTTATTTGATATACATTTTACATATTCGTTTTTTTTTAATGACAAAACTTTGTTTTTTAGGCAACGGTATAGAACCGTCTGCCTGGAGTTGCCCTAAAAATACATACTATGAAAAGAAATAAAATAAATAAAAATCAACTATGGAAACATTTAACAGCCCTTTGTTATTTGAAAGAATATAAAACAACTTTAAACTACCTGATAGATATAATCTAAATAAACATAATTTGTCAAATAATCAGAAAGAAATAATTTTTGTTGCATAATCTTAATCTAATACTTGCTTTTGTTTACATATATAACTAAAGAATGTTATGTGTTGTATTGCTGAATCAAAACTATCCTATATTTATAAGCGTATATATGATACATATATAAACTGCTCCAATATTTGGCATTGAGTATGTTAATTGCGGTTTATGATCTCTTTCTTAAAATATTTGATTCGATCTTTCTGTAAAATCGGAGAAACAGCGACATAGTGGTATACATCCTCTATTTCATTTAAATTACACAGGCTACATAATATTTGTTACTC